TTGTCTTTATTAGCCAATCAGGGTTTGTCTTCATTAGCCAATCAGAGAGTTTGTCTTGCTAGCCAATCAGAGCTTTTCATACCAACCACTCATAGACCACCCAATCAGAAAATTTGCCTTTATTAGCCAATCAGAGTTTGTCTTACTAGCCAATCAGAGCTTTTCACACCAACCACTCAGAGACCTTATCTAAACCAATAGAACATCCGGTAGCAGCTAATATATGAATCTGTCTGTCTGTCTGTCTGTCTCTCTCTGTGTTTGTGTGTCTGTTTAACTGTCTGTCTGTCTGTCTGTGTGCTTTTGCCTATCTCTGTCTGTCGGTCTGTGCCTCAATCTATCTGTTTAACTGTCTGTCTGCCAGTCTGTCAACACCGCACCTTATCCCTGTGAGTAATATGAAGGAACAGGTGTTGATGCCTTAAAGATCAATGTCTGGGCGTTAACGATGAAGATTAAACTAGTCTTAAAATACCCTAACACTCGGGTAGTGATTCACAGGGTATAACTGCACCTAGACGAGGTCACTGTGTGTGCGGGTAGTGTATTGCCTTAAGATACAGCAGTAGGTAATAAGAGCCAACACGTGTAGTTCACCGCCTTCTTCATGTGTACAGTAATTTACTTCTTCTATAAACTCTCATTACTAACTCTCGTTTCTCTCGCTCGCTTAATGTGTTTTGGGATCTGCAATTGATATTATTATTTTTTTTTTTTGTGTTCTTGGTAGCTGAATCAGATCGTTGATAAAGATTTGTAGCCGGTGTGTGTGTGTGTGTGTGTGTGTGTGTGTGTGTGTGTGTGTGTGTGTGCGCGCGCTCTTGGTGCTTGTATGTCCACACACACACACACACGCACACACGCTTCCCTCAATACGTGAGTGTATGCACATATGCGTATACATGTTTGCTTGCGTATAAATTTTGCGTACGTGGTTGAGTAAGTGAGGAGGAGGAGGAGGAGGAGGGCCGCGGGGCATCGCCTGGCGGACACCGACGATGTCACCCACACATTATCTTTATTGAATCTTGTAGTAGTGTTGTGGCCTCACCGCTGTGTCGCATTCTTCAACCCTCATTATCAACCCCCCCTCCCTCTCCCTACTTACCCCAGCTCCCCCCCCAGTAACCCCCAACTCTCCCCAATGTCTTAGCTCTCCCCAAAATATTTAAACTCCCCTCCCCCTCATGCCAATCCCCTGCCCTCTCCTATCTCCCCTTTCCCAGATTACCCCCGCCCTCCCTTCCCCTTCCCCCCTCCCCTTCCCCCCTCCCAAGGTGGAAGAATGTGTTCATAGAAGCTTTCACCACTAAGGTTCGTGCCCTTGTTCCCCGCAGCAGTTGGTAGCCCCTCCAGAGCAACAGGGGCATTTGAACCACTGGCCACTAATGTCCATGGATCACTATAGAATTAAGGTGATAGTGTGCAGTATATAACAGAGGTGGGAGTTGTGAGATTAGCAAGAATGAGATCAGCAATATTATTGAGATTAGTGAGATTTAGACGAAATTTTGAGGCTAAAAATGAGACCGAGATTAGCTATTTTGAGACGAGCTTGCAGTCTCAGTGTTAAAGGGGTCTAAAGTCCACAAGATTGAGGGTAGTTATGTGTCCCTGTGATCTGGAAATGTGTGTGTGGCTTAAGAGCGCCCTCTGCCAGTTTGTGATTGGTTCAGACAGCTCTTGCCTTAGGTTAGGTCAGAATGGTTAGCCTAGGTTAGGTTAGGTTAGGTTAGGTTAGGTTCACGCAGCCCGCTCACAGAAACATGACGTCACGCGATCCAGCCAATCATAGCCAGGCTGCTTGGTTATTCTCAATTGCCATTGGTGTGATCAGTGTGTGTGTGTGTGTGTGTGTGTTAAGACAGACAAAAGGAAGCCGTAAGTGGATTATAAAGGCAGTGACGAAGGGGTAGGTAAGGGACAGTGACGGAGGTACAGACAAGGGACAGTGACGGAGGTACAGACAAGGGGACAGTGACGGAGGTACAGACAAGGGGACAGTGACGGAGGTACAGACAAGGGACAGTGACGGAGGTACAGACAAGGGGACAGTGACGGAGGTACAGACAAGGGACAGTGACGGAGGTACAGACAAGGGACGGTGACGAGTACAGCAGACAAGGGACAGTGACGGAGGTACAGACTAAGGGACGCAGTGACGGAGGGTACAGACAAGGGGACAGTGACGGAGGTACAGACAAGGGACAGTGACGGAGGTACAGACGGAACGCAGTGGCAGGTACAGACAAGGACAGTGACGGAGGTACAGACCCAAGGACCATCAGGCAAGGAGAGTACAGACCCAAGGACAGTGACGGAGGTACAGACAAAGGACAATGACGGAGGGCAGACAAGGGACAAATGGCCGGAGAATTACAGACAAGGACAGTGACGGAGGTACAGACAAGGAGGACAGTGACGGAGGTACAGACAAGGAGTTGAAGTGACGGAGGTACAGACAAGGGACAGTGACGGAGGTACAGACAGTGACCATTTGATCGTCTGAACCACTCATAAATAATACACATTAAGAGATGGTAGTCAGCGGTGACACTCCATAATTGTACCTGTCGTTCCCGTGTCACTTTTTTCTCTCTATTTTTTTTTTCTTTCGCCTGCCCTGGAGATCCTTCGCCCGCCTGCTGGGACTTCTGTGCTACCCATGTCTTAATTTTGCTCCTGGTAACCTCACTAGCTTGTAGGAGTGAAACCGTTCTGTGTGTGTGTGTGTGTGTGTGTGTGTGTGTGTGTGTGTGTGTGTGTGTGTGTGTGTGTGTGTGTGTGTGTGTGTGTGTGTGTGTGTGTGTGTGTGTGTGTGTGTGTGTGAATATTTGTCAGTATCACCACCGAAAATTTAAACATGATACCCGAGGCACCGACAATATACAGTGATAGGTAAGACAATAAATTAAGCGAGATAGTAGTGACTAGTAACGATGTTAATAAGCAAATATACAAACTAAAGCCTCATAAGTCACCTGGTCCCGATGAGATATTTGCCAGAGTAATAAAGGAATGTAAGGAAGAGCTTAGTATGCCTTTAGCATGACATTAAAAACGGGTGTAGTACCAGAATCCTGGAAGATAGCGAATGTAATACCGGTTTTCAAGAAGGGACATAGATCACTATCCTCTAACTTCCGTCCAATCAGTTTAACATCAATTGTAGGAAAATTACTGGAAGCAATCATTTAAAACTTTATTCGAAATCACCTGAAAAAGCACAAGTTGATCAATGATTCCCAACATTGCTTCACAAGCGGGCGTATATAGGAGAGAAATAGGTAAACATTGGTTTGGTAACAGAGTAGTGGATGAGTGGAACAAGTTACCAAACATCATCATTAACTCGAATACGCTGGATAGCTTCAAACATAGGTTGGATGGATATATGAGCGATAGGGGTTGGGTGTAAATGGGACTGTCCAGTATGAGCCAATAGGCCCGCTGCAGTTCCTCCACTCTTATGTTCTAATGTGTGTGTGTGTGAGGAAGAGGGAGAAAGGTTGTATAATATGTATGTATGTATGTATGTATGTATGTATGTATGTATGTATGTATGCATGGGAACGATCTCGTTGTCACAAGTGGATGCCCCTCCCTGACCCTCTTGGCCTCGGGGGGGAGGGGGTCGCTCATCACACCTTGCGGGACTGTCTTCGTTCGTTTAGTTCATAGTGGTGCAAGATGAACACAAGACACTACTTCATGTTAAACCTTCAACTCCATGTTACTGTCCTCTACTTCCTCCTCCTTTTCCTCTTCTTCCTCCTTCTCTTTTTTCTCCTCTTCATTCTATTCCTCCTCCCTCTTCATTGTCCTCCCCCTCCTCCTCCTCCCCCTCCTTCATTCTGTTCCTCCTTCCTCTTCATTCTCAACCTCCTCCTTCTTTATACACTTCCCTCCTCCTTCTCCTCCCTCTTAATTCTCTTTTTTCTCCTCCTTCTCTTGCTGTCACTGTCACTACTACCACTGATGCAACTTCCTGTTACTGCTTTTTTCTTACTGCTACTGTTACTGTCACTTCTTCTGTTACTGCTACTGTTACTTCTTCTGTTACTGCTACTGTTACTTCTTCTGTTACTGCTACTGTTACTTCTTCTGTTACTGCTACATCCAGAATAGTACACATAGCATGGTGGTCGTAAGGACATATCAGAATGTTACCACAGTTATCACTTCGTTATTTATTTATTTTATTTATTTTTTTACATGTATATTATAAGTATATGCATATTTCACAGTGGTGTTGGTATACATTAATAAGGTAAGGGAGGGAACCAGTACAGTCTGGGTTGTATTAAGGTGAAATAGGAAGACAGAGCTGTTAGGATTATGTCTAGTTGGCAAATATGATTATTACAATAGTTATTTCTATTGAATGGTTTTGGTGGTACAACATAAACAGGTATATGAAGTAGGTATTACAAAAATATTAATACTTAGACAACAGACAAGTGATTGACAGACTCGTAAACAAATAGGGCACAGGTGTAGGTGTTAATATCCTCGAATTTTAACATTTTTAGTTTAGCAAATTGTTTGTTAATGTGATTTTTTTTTTCAAGTACGTCATTGTCCGCACAACTCTGCGCAGTAATCAGGGGATGTGTTTTTGTAGAGCCAGAGGTGTCACATGATTGGCTGAGAGATCAATACTTAAATAGATGTTACCTGATTGGCTGATATATCTCTATGTAAACATCATCTGATTGGCTGAGAGATCAATACTTAAGTAGATGTTACCTGATTGGCTGATATATCTCTATGTAAACATCATCTGATTGGCTAAGAAATCAATACTACGTAGGCATCACCATATTAAACTTAAAGTACTCTACTCTTGATACATCTTTCAATAATACATAACCTACTGTATACATAACTTATACAGCACTTTTACATAACGTTCCCTGGTGTAAGTATACATGAATCAAAAATAAATATCTTTCTTCCCTTGGTTGATATATCCCTTTTTCTTGACCTTTTAACCTTGTGTGACCCTAATTGGCATTGTCCTCTATGTTCCAGGTGTCAGCGACGGATCCGGACTGCGGAGTGAACGCCATGGTGAACTATACCATAGGGGATGGATTCAAGCGCTTCAAAGAGTTCGAGATACGGCCAATGACGGGGGACATCTGCATCTCTGGCCAGCTGGACCACGAAACACGAGCGGTCTACGAGTTCCCTGTCGTGGCCACGGATAGAGGTGAGTGAGTCTGTCTGTCTCCGGATAAACTACACGCCCACTGCTATGCTTACACTACACGCCCACTGCTATGCTTACACTACACGCCCACTGCTATGCTTACACCACACGCCCACTGCTATGCTTACACTACACGCCCACTGTTATGCTTACACTACACGCCCACTGCTATGCTTACACTACACGCCCACTTCGTTAGGTTTACACCACACGCCCACTGCGGCGCTTACACTACACGCCCACTACTATGCTTACACTACACGCCAACATATGCTTACACTACACGCCCACTGCTATGCTTACACTACACGCCCACTGCTATGCTTACACTACACGCCCACTGTTATGCTTACACCACACGCCCACTGCTATGCTTACACCACACGCCCACTGCTATGCTTACACCACACGCCCACTGTTATGCTTACACTACACGCCCACTGCTATGCTTACACTACACGCCCACTGCTATGCTTACACTACACGCCCACTGCTATGCTGTGTGTGTATCAGATGATGTCTGTGAAGTCGTGTTACGTCCTGTTATCTTGTTATCTTCCTGGTGATAAGACATGAACGTGATAATTGTTCCTCTTGATGTGTCCCATGGTGGTGAGAGAGAGGATTAGTGTGTCCCATGGTGGTGAGAGAGAGGATTACTGTATCTCCTATGGTGGTGAGAGAGAGGATTAGTGTGTCCCACAGGTGAGAGAGGATTAGGTGTGTCCCATGGTGGTGAGAGAGAGGATTAGTGTGTCCCATGGTGGTGAGAGAGAGGATTAGTGTGTCCTATGGTGGTGAGAGAGAGGATTAGTGTGTCCCATGGTGGTGAGAGAGAGGATTACTGTATCTCCTATGGTTGACGTGTTACAGGTGGGCTCAGTACAACAGCCGCCGTCAAGATACAGTTACTAGACGTCAACGACAACCGCCCAACGTTCTACCCCCAGCAGTACAATGTATCCCTCCGCGAGCAACACAGGTCCTCCTCCTCACCTGTCGTGGTGGTCGTCGCTACAGATAAGGACGCCGGTATCTACGGACAGGTGAGTCGCAATGCTTGAGAGCTAGTGTGTAATGGTGTTATATTGTGTTACTTCCCCCCCCCCCTCCCCGCATCATCTCTCATTCCAAAGTGTGTAGAGGTGTTATATTGTGTTATATTGTGTTGCATTGCGTTGTGTTGTATTGTCTTACGTGTTCCCCCTCATCTCCTCCCACAGGTGACCTACGAGATCGTGGGCGGTAACGACGCTGGCATCTTTCGCATCAACGGGAAATCAGGGGAGATCTTCGTCAAACAGCCTCTCTCTAAGGCCACACCCATGTACCACATCAACGTGTCTGCCCGTGACGGTGCTGGACTCAGGTACGTGGTACTAGGGTACAACCAGCGTATACTAGTAGGGCACGACCAGGGTAAACTAGAGCACGACCAGGGTACACTACTAGAGCACGACCAGGGTAAACTACTAGAGCACGACCAGGGTAAATTACTAGAGCACGACCAGGGTAAATTACTAGGGCACGACCAGGGTATACTACTGCCCCAAGTTAATTTGAGTATCCTGCAGGTCCGTGGTGGATGCCGAGGTAGCCATCTCCGTGATCGACACCAACCAGGAGCCGCCCATCTTCGAGAAGCCCCGCTACATCTTTGGCGCCAACGAGAGCGTCTCCCAAGGCACCGTCGTCGGTACTGTCACCGCCACGTCCAGCGGTAGGGGTGAGTCGTGTTTATGGTTTTCATGCGTTCGTGGTTGCGTTTAAGTTATCTCATTTTACGCCTTTGTTTACTTCACTAATGGGTGTTTTACGCATATGGGGGGCTTTATATTTTATTTTATTTTTTACTTTAATACAACTTAACGCAACCAGTAACTAATTCATGGTCACCATCATTTGCATGTGACCCACGACAAACACGGTGATATGTCAGGTACTTAGAGGGTCTTATTCATTGCACCTTCACTAACTTACAGTATAGCAACGTATAGTAATATTGATGTACTTATGTATGTACTTTTGTTGTTGATTCAGTAGAGTATTTTTACCTGAAGTACCTGTATGTTTCACTCGTAATTAAATGAGTTCACTGATAAGTTATTCATATTTCCTGTGCATAATTTTATTTGTATCTTTACTGTACTACATACTCCGTTGGTGTTACAGTATTTGTACATGTATCTGTATTGCTGAATCTAAATAACTAAACCGAATTACTACTAACTTAAACGAATGACAAGTAATTTTACATTTAGTCTTCCTGTACTACTGACTGTAAACACTGTATGACTCAGACATGACGGGTTTCTTAAGGGTTAAACATGACTCTGGGGATTTATTATTGTTAATCCCCTAGGTGGCGGCGAGGTGAGGTACAACATATACTCCGGGGACCCCAATGGTTACTTCAGTATAGACAGCCTGAGTGGTATGTTGAGCACCGCCTCGCCCCTCGACCATGAGTCACACCCCTTCGTCCTGCTCAATGTCCTCGCTACTGCCGGTAACCCACCCACCTACGGTCACACTCAGGTCAGTATTCCCCCCACATCACCAGGTCACTACTCTTACCTCCAGGTCACTACTCTTACCTCCAGGTCACACACACACACACACACACACACACACACACACACACACACACAGGTCAATACATACAAACGCATATGATGACAGCCACAAAAAATTAACTGCATATATAAAGAGGAAAATTTAAGAATGGATTAGTGGATAAATAGTGAGATAAAGATGTATTTAGATAGACAGCCACCATAAATTAAAGAGGTGTGCTTCGATAATTATATCCCGAGGCCAGTGTTATAACTCACCTGCCTCGCTCCACAGGTCAACATCAGTATTTACGACGTGAACGACAACGCCCCGGAGTTCGATGTGAACTCCGTCAAGATCTCGGTGCGGGAGAACGCAGAGCTCAACATCGCCATCTACGCCACCCACGCCACCGACCACGACTCCGGCGATAACGGCGTCATCACCTACACCCTCGTCCAGAACCCCGGCAATGTGTTCATCATAGAAGAGGTGAGTGTTGAACCTCCTCGTATGGTATGTAGCGCCTTGAATCCTTGTTATGCTTAAGACAATATAGATGTATTGAGAGTTAGAACTATAGATGTATTGAGAGTTAGAACTATAGATGTATTGAGAGTTAGAACTATAGATGTATTGAGGTTAGAACTATAGATGTATTGAGAGTTAGAACTACCAAATAGTGAGAGTTAGAACTATATAGATGTGAGAGTTAGAACTATAGATGTGTTGAGTTAGAACTATAGGTATGATGAGAGTTAGAACTATAGATGTGTTGAGTTAGAACTATAGATGTGGTGAGGAGTTAGAACTATAGATGTATTGAGAGTTAGAACTATAAATGTATTGAAGTTAGAACTATAGATGTATTGAGAGTTAGAACTATAGATGTATTGAGAGTTAGAACTATAGATGTATTGAGAGTTAGAACTATAGATGTATTGACAGGAGGATAAAGATAGATGAATGAATGGATCCTTAGATAGAGTGATTAATAGATGGCCAGTTGAATGCATTATATGTTGTGAGTGACGTGTTATGTCCCCCCACAGGATCAGGGCATCCTCAAGTTGACTGAACAGCTGGACTACGAGGATGTACAGAAGTACACGGTGGTGATCGGGGCGCACGACCAGGGTGTTCCCCGCCTCTCCTCCAACCTGACGGTGAACCTGGAAGTGCAGGACGTCAACGACAATCCTCCCGTGTTCGACAAGACGTCCTATGTGGTGAGCGTCCTGGAGTCCCTACCGGCCAACTCTCAGTTCCTGCAGGTGACCGCGGTCGATTTAGACACGGGCAACAATGCCAGGCTGACCTACACCATCAGGGAGAAGGAGTTTGAGAACATCTTCGGCATTTTCCCCAACTCTGGCTCACTCTACCTGAAGGAGGTAAGTACTCGAGTGTGTCTTAAGTAATTACGGCTGCACCACTGGTTTGTCAGTCATGAGTCTATGAAGTAAATATAATGCAGGTGTTTTTAGCGCCTCGCTTTATATCTTGTGTCCACGCAGGTGCTGGATCGTGAGACCCGGGACCGGTACGTACTGACGGTAGTAGCTACGGACAACGGAACCCCCGTCTCCACAGCTTCCACCACCGTCACCATCAACGTCCTCGACGCCAACGACAACACTCCTTCTTTCTCCAGACAGGTACTGTCCACTTTTCTATATACTGTATATGTATCGCCCTTCTCCAGACAGGTGGCTCCTCTTCTCTGAACAGTTAATCCTCATTTTTCAGACAGCAACTTTCCTTCTCTGACTTTTAATGATTTAATGAAAAGTGTTGTGTTAGTCAGTCCCCCTGTACAGCTTTTGTCTTGATAGATATAAGTATTTAGTTGTGTTGTTGATGTGAACCTTCTGACTGTTATTTTTTTTATAATTAGGTCCTTTACTTCATAGTACATGTTTTGCTTTTTTCTTATTTTGATGTAAATTACATATCTGTGCGTGTGTGCGTACGTACGTACATGCATGCGTGGCAGAGTGTAGTAACAGTCGAGCCAGCAGTGAGCACCGCTTGAGCGTCCCACACACACACTCACGCTAACTCGGTGTTACCCTGGCAGGTGTACGAGTTCACGGTGGAGGAGAACTTGGACTCCGGGGCGGTGGTGGGCAGCGTGACGGCCGAGGACCGCGACCTTGGCAACAACGCCTCCCTCAGGTTCTCTCTCACACCAGCAGATGGCTCTTTCCAGATCAACCCCGTCACAGGTCAGTGCCCCTCTCTGTCTGTCTGTAATTCCGTTTGTCTTTCTATTTGTCTGTGTTTTTTCGCTCTTCCAAACGACCCTTGCAAATCATTTACGTCACAGCTCATGTTTTGGCGTCCATGGAAGTGTGATTGTTTTCATCACCAAGTTATTTTCTCCTTTTCGCCTTTGTTAAGGAACCAACACAAAGTTCGGCTGTAGCAGGATGATTTTTCTTCTAGTTTCCTTTAATACTGTAACTTACCCGAAAAAAAAGAACCTCATATCAGACATAAATACCAACAAAGATTCCAACGAGGGCGCCAAATATACTTACGATGATGTGCCCTTCGCTCTACCCAATCAGTGACTCAGGCAGTGACAATAAATGACGGCATCAACCAATCAGAGTGTTGCTGAGACAGGCATCACTAGTGTGGCCGCCTAATGACGTGTTATGACTCCTCGTGAACATCCCGGTAACAGAAAGAGCTGGTGCAGGGTGTCGTTGGCTGCACCACGGGGAGAATGTGTCCAGCGGCGGGATGGTATGACAGTGTCACATTAGATTACAATGACGCTGACGAAGGTGTTAAAACTGACGAAGGTGTTTATGCGGAAATTATACCAATATGGATTATTATATCGTTGTAATAGATGTTTATAAGTTTTGATGATGAGCCGTTAACTCCTTCCCTACCGCAACCTCTGACAACTCCACTTAACATACTGTACACCTACTAAAAAATTATTCGGCATCCTTACCGCGTGATACAATATGACACGGGTGCTGAATAATTTTTTATTGGGTGTACACACCATCGACTACATACATTACTAACTGGGCCGTGCAGGATGGAAGGGTTGCTACATAATATACTGTACGTTGGCATAATTCACTCCCAACATGCAGAGTTGTGGTGGTTGATGGCTCATGTAGACTGTAGGACAAATATTGGCGGACATCCTGCGACCGGCCATTCACCACCGCGGCTCCAAGGCGGCCTTGAGAAAACACACTGTCGGCAAATACCTGTGTAAATTTCCTGATGAATTAACACAGTGGAATGTTTCGTCCAAGACAGTGGTGAGGCCAGTACCCTCCCCCACTCCCCCTACTCTACCCCCACTCCCACTACCTTCCCCCACTCCCACTATTCCCTTTCTCTTACCCTAACCCCACTCCTTTCCCCCTACTCTACCACCAACTTCCTCTTACTCTACCCCTACTCTCTTCCCCCCCTCTACTCCTCCTCCCTCCCCCTCTACTCCTCCTCCTCCTCCCTCCTCCACTCCCACCTCCCTCCTCTACTTCTCCTCCCCCCACTTCTCTACCTCCCCCTACCCTCCTCCCGCCCTCTCCCTCCTCCTCCCTCCTCCTCTACTCCCTCCCTCCTCCTACTCCTCCCTCCCTCTACCCTCCTCCCCCTCCTCCCCCTCCTCCCCCTCATGCTTTACTCCCCCTACTCTGTCCCTCTCCTTCCCCCTACTCCTTACCCATACTGTAGTCCGGCTCCGCCCCCACATCACCGCCCCCAATTGTACTCCATCATTACCTCCCCCACTCTAACACCTGTAACACACTCTTTCCCCTGCTATATTATCGCCTCCCTCTCCCCTACGATTGGCTGATTGAGGATGTGGGGGACGATGATTGGCTGTATAGAGGGTGTGGGGAACGATGATTGGCTGCTGGAGGGTGTGGAAGACGATGATTGGCTGATGGAGGGTGTGGGGGACGATGGTTAGCTTATATGGAGTGTGTGGGGTGACGATGATTAGCTTATATGGAGTGTGTGGGTGACGATGATTGGCTGCTGGAGGGTGTGAGGGACAATGATTGGTTGCTGGAGGGTGTGGAGAACGATGATTGGCTGATGGAGGGCGTGGGGGACGATGATTGGCTGTATAGAGGGTGTGGGGGACGCCCCGTCGACCGTGATTTGTCCGATATTAGCGGCGATGTTATCACCCTCACTCCCTGCAGGGGTCCAGGGATGTGTGGGGGAGGGGGGATGTCCTGCCTGGGGAAGACCATCACCTCTCTGAAGATTAAAGAGGGTTTCCTTCCGCAGGAAAAGAATCGAATCCCTTGCTTCGACATTTTTTATTAATTTCTGTGATAGGTGATCCTCATAGGGCCACTCTGTTACGTCACCCAGTGATGATACATTTTGGGTCCCTGCTACACCCGGCACCGTACTCAAGTACCTCGACCCGCACACCACCTTTCCCACATACTCCGACCCGTGGGACATCGTCTCCACGTGCCCCAGCTTACGGGTAAGTTGGACGGGCGTGAGAGGGGTGGGGGGAGACGAGAGGGTTAATAAGGTTGTCCGGGGCGGGTCGGGGCGCGCCCTGGTGTGAGGCGCGGTGTAGGCGTGTATGTTGGCATGCCATGCCGGCCCCACCATTCACCCCGCGCCACGGGGGGCGCCGCGCCCCACACACACTGCCATTTTCACTAATCTTCGCCTCATGCCCTCTCGCTTCGTTCTCTGGGGGTGTTACGAAGAGAGGAATGCAGGAATACACCAGAGTTGGAGCCGGGTGGGGTGATGCACGGCGCGTTAGTCCATAGAAGAAAAAGGGGAGTAGACGGCCCGCGAGAGCTCTGACAGACCCCTGGTAGAGGCGTCAACACTGGCAGGGCGGCAGGTAGTGGCGGCCCATGAGGATCCCCGGGGGGCGCCCAGCTACCCCACACAGCGTCCCTGCCCCTAGTACTGCCCCGCACACCACTCTTACCCCTAGTGTTCCCCCACACCTCTTCACTGCACCTAGTGTTCCCCCACACCCCTCCACTGCACCTAGTGTTCCCCCACACCTCTCCACTGCACCTAGTGTTTCCCCACACCCCTTCACTACCCCTAGTGTTTCTCCATACCCCTCCACTGCACCTGGTATTTCCCCACACCCCTCCACTGCTCCCCCACACCCTTCTTACTGTTGTCTCAAACCTCACCCCTGCATCACTGTTGCCCAACCTAACCTTAATGTAACTCTTGCAAACATATATATTATTTATACCTCCCTAAAGATCCACTTCCTCCTGCAGGAGAGATCGTAACCCGCGTGGCCCTGGACAGAGAGCTGAAGGCGGTGTACGAGGTGACGGCGGAGGTGCACGACGAGGGGCGGCCGCCACGTCACGCCCGCGCCACCGTCAGAGTCCTCGTCACCGATGTTAACGACAACTCCCCAACCTTCATCGAGCCCCGTGAGCCATCAGTCAGCGTCAGGGAGGAACAACCCGCCGGCACCGAGGTCCTGCAGGTAGGTGGTGTTGATGATATTCTTCTCCCGGAGTTACTTGGCTTCTGTTGGGCTCCATTAGGTAGTAATTTTAGGCCTTCTGTAGTCACTGAAGGTCTCCAGTCTTTCTTTGATTCTTATAAGTTTCCGTAGATTAATGCAGAGAGTTTCCACCATTGTTCCCTTGCTCTTTTAGGATCCTGTACGTGACTTAGCTAGCAACAGAGTGCCAAATAGCCAGCATCAAGTCAACTAGGAATCAAGTAGCAAATAATTAGCCAACAAGGCGTCAAGTTGCCAGTATCTAGCCAACAAGGCATCAAGTAGCCAGTATCTAGCCAACAAGGCATCAACTAACCAGTATCTAGCCAACAAGGCGTCAACTAACCAGTATCTAGCCAACAAGGCATCAACTAACCAGTATCTAGCCAACAAGGCGTCAAGTCACCAATAAAATGGTAAACGGTGCCAAATTGTCATTAACTAAGCCGTGTGCCGGTACAGGTTCGAGCGACAGACCGGGATGAGGGCAACAACGCCTCCATCACCTACTCCTTCATCACCAGCGACGACAATGATGATGACAGTGCCTTCAACATCAACCCGACCACCGGTGTTATCACCACCACCAAGGTCTGTACCATCCCTCTTCTATCCACACCCCAGGATCATTATCCACATCCCAGGATCATTATCCACACCCCAGGATCATTATCCACACCCCAGGATCATTATCCATATCCCAGGATCATTATCCACATCCCAGGATCATTATCCACACCCCAGGATCATTATCCACACCCCAGGATCATTATCCACACCCCAGGATCATTATCCACACCCCAGATCATTATCCACACCCCAGGATCATTATCCACATCCCAGGATCATCCAGGATATCCACACCCCAGGATCGTATCCACACCCCAGGATCATTATCCACCCCAGTGCCACTATCCCACGCCAGGATCATTATCCATATCCCAGGATCATTATCCATACCCCAGGATCATTATCCACACCCCAGGATCATTATCCACACCCCAGGATTATCCACACCCCAGGATCATTATCCATATCCCAGGATCATTATCCACACCAGGATCATTATCCACACCCCAGGAATCCATATCCATTATCCACCCCAGGATCTGTATCCACACCCAGGGCCACTATCCACACCCCAGGGCCACTATACCCAGGGCCTATCCACCCAGGCCACTATCCATAACACGGGACCAATATCCACACTCCAGGGCCACTATTCACCCCAGGCCACTATCACACCCCAGGGCCACTATCCACACCCCAGGGCCACTATCCACACCTATCCACATCCCGTGCCACTATCCACACCCAGTGCCACTATCCACACCCCAGTGCCACTATCCACACGCCAGGCACTATCCACACCCAGAGCCACCATCAACACCCCAGGTTCACTACCCACACCCAGGCCACTATCCACCCCAGTGCCACTATCCACATCCCGTGCCACTATCCACACCCCAGTGCCACTATCCACACGCCAGGGCCACTATCCACACCCAGAGCCACTATCAACACCCAGGTTCACCCACACCCAGGGCCACTATCCACACCTAAGTGCCACTATCCACACCCCAGTGCCACTATCCACACCCAGGGACACTATCCACACCCCAGGGCCACTATCAACACCCCAGGGCCGTTATCCACACCCCAGGGCCACTATCCACACCCAGAGCCACTATCAACACCCCAGGTTCACCCACACCCAGGGCCACCATCCACACCCCACACTATCAACACCCCAGGGCCGTTATCCACACTCCAGGGCCACATCCACACCCCAGGGACACTATCCACACCCCAGGGCCACTATCCACACGCCAGGGCACTATCCACACCCAGAGCCACTATCAACACCCCAGGGCCGTTATCCACACCCAGGGCCACTATCAACACCCCAGGTTCACTACCCACACCCAGGGGCCACTATCCACACCCCAGGTTCACCACCCACACCCAGGGCCACTATCCACACCCCAGGGCCATTATCCACACCCCAGGGACACTATCAACACCCCAGGGACACTATCAACACCCCCATCCACACCCAGAGCCACTATCAACACCCAGGTTCACTACCCACACCCAGGGCACTATCCACACCCCAGGCCACTATCAACACCCCAGGCCTATCCACACTCCAGGGCCACTATCCACACCCCAGGGACACTATCCACACCCCAGGGCCACTATCCACACCAGGCCACTATCCACACTCCAGGGCCACTATCAACACCCCAGGTTCACTACCCACACCCAGGCCACACATCCACACCCCAGGCCACCACACCCAGGCCACCATCCACACCCCAGGGCCATTATCCACACCCCAGGGCAACACCCAGGCCACATCCACACCCCAGGGGCCACTATCAACACCCCAGGGCCACTATCCACACCCCAGGGCCACTATCAACACCCCAGGGGTATCCACACCCCAGGGCCACTATCAACACCCCAGGGACACTATCAACACCCCAGGGCCATCACACCCCAGGGACACCCCAGGACACTATCACCCCAGGCCACTATCACACCCCAGGGACACTATCCACACCCCAGGCCCCATCCACACCCCAGGCCACCATCCACACCCCAGGACACATCCACACCCCAGGGCCCCAGGACCCCACACTATCCACACCCCAGGGCTCATCCACACCCCAGGGCCACTATCCACACCCCAGGACACATCCACACCCCAGGCCCCATCCACACCCCAGGCCACTATCCAAATGCCACTATCCACACCCCAGGACCCCACTATCCACACCCCAGGGCCACTATCCATCCCAATCACCCAGACACTATCCACACCCCAGGCCACATGCCACCATCCACACCCCAGGCCGTATCCACACCCAGGGCCACTATCCACACCCCAGGGCCACTATCAACACCCCAGGCCATTATCCACACCCACTATCCACCCCAGGCCCCCATCCACACCCCAGGCCATCCAAATCCCAGTGCCACTATCCAACCCCAGGGACACTATCCACACCCCAGGCCACTATCCACACTCCAGGGCTACTAACCACACCCCAGGGCCGTTATCCACACCCCAGGGCCACCATCCACCCCAGTGCCACTATCCACACCCCAGGGCTGTATCCACACCCAGGCCACTATCCACACCCCAGGCCACTATCAACACCCCAGGCACACCCAGGCCACCATATCAACACCCCAGGGCCATTATCCACACTCCAGGGCTACTAACCACACCCCAGGGCCACTATCCACACCCCAGGGCCATTATCCACACCCCAGGCCATTATCCACCCAGGGCCACTATCCACACCCCAGGGCCACATCACACCCCAGGCCATTATCCACACCCCAGGCCACATCCACACCCAGGCCACTAACCACACCCCAGGGCCACTATCCAAATCCCAGTGCCACTATCCACACCCCAGGGACACTATCCACACCCCAGGCCACTATCCACACCCCAGGGCCCTATCCACACTCCAGAGCCACTATCCACACCCCAGGGCCACTATCCACACCCCGGGGCCACTATATTCTATAAAATAGGGTCACTATCCTCACCCCAGGGCCACTATCCGTAACCCGGGGCTACTATCCACACTCCAGAGCCACTATCCATAACATAAGGTCACTAACCATACCCTGGGGTCACTATCCGTAACTTGGGGTCACTGTTTATTGGACTGCAGCAATGTAGTGTATAACGAAGATTTGAGTCGTGAATATATTTTATTACATCAGAGAGAGAGAGAGAGTATTCCCTGAAGGTGCTTGGGTGTGTTGTATAAGAACTTAAGAGACAAAGATAGTGGAATTTTGTATACAATATATCTTGTCTTCTGACAGATTCTGGATCACGAGGTGAAGCAGGTGTACCGCGTCACAGTGTTGGCCAGTGACCAAGGAAACCCGCCCAAAAACGTCACCAAGGTCATACAGATAGAGGTGTTGGACCTAAACGACAATCGGCCCACCTTCCCCGCGTCGTCGATGGTCTTCAAGGTGAAAGAAGGTGTGAAGGTGGGCGAGGAGGTGGGTTCTGTCATCGCTGTGGACAGGGACGCCGGAGAAAACGGCCGTGTCACTTATACCATCCTCACTGGCAACACCTACGGCACCTTTGATATCAACAAGACGACGGGGCAGGTGTTCACTGCTAAACAGGTAGATTACGAGCTGGCCACGGAGTACATGCTGCAGGTGAAGGCTGTTGACTCCTCAGCCACTAACCCCCAGAGCTCCATCATCAACGTCAAGATAGAAGTCCAGGATGAGAATGATCAGTCTCCCATCTTCAAAGATGATCCTATCATTTTCTCTATCAGCGAGAACACAGTTATCGGTACACCAGTGTGGAACTTCACTGCCACCGACCTGGATTCAGGTGACAATGGATATGTACAGTACTCACTGACGCAGCAGAGGCCCAAGAAGGTGTTCAAATTGGACTCAACGACTGGGATGTTGACCCTGATGGCGCCCCTTGACCACGAGGAGCACCAGGAGTACACGCTCGTAGTGACGGCTGCTGACCAGCCCCGGGACGAGACCCACAGCCGTCAGGCTTCTGTCACCGCGCGCATATTGATCGAGGACTACAACGACAACTCGCCCAAGTTCGTATCACGGGGACGTGTTGACATCATGGAGGATGAGCCTCGAGGATACCCGGTCCTACACGTCATTGCAACTGACGAGGACTCGCGTGATAATGGCCGCGTCACTTATATCATCAGTTCTGGTAATGAAGATGCTAGTTTTGCTCTTCACTACGAAACAGGAGTGTTGAGTATAGTAAAAGCCTTGGACCGCGAGCGTGCCACTCAGTATCGCCTCAATGTGACCGCAAGTGACCACGGTCAACCTCCACGTTCTGCTGCGCAGGTCATAGAAGTCTTCATTGAAGATGTCAATGATAACCCTCCCAAGTTTAGTCAGCCTGTGTACCGGGCCAATGTCTCCGAGGGAGCTCCTCCAGGAACCTCCGTCATTCGTGTGACAGCGTCAGATCGTGATCATGGTACCAACAGCAATCTGACCTACATCATCCCAGCGGGGATCGGTGACAACAAGTTTCGCATCAACCCAGCCACTGGAGCCATCCACACTGTGGCCACACTGGACCGCGAAGAAAAAGACCAGTTCACTCTGACTGTATATGTGCGTGATGGATCCTTCCCGGCTCAGTACGACACTGCTTCTGTCTTGGTAACACTTACAGACGTCAATGACCACGCTCCCGAGTTCCGTGACTCCTGCTACCCCTTGCGTGTGCCGGAGAACACTGACCTCTCCGTCATTCACACAGTGTTAGCCACTGACAGAGACGCAGGACTCAATGGCAAGGTCAGATACTCCATAACAGATGGTAACGTCAACAACAAATTTAGTATTGGGTCATATTCTGGGCAGCTGTCTTCTCGACCTCTAGATCGAGAGGCACACGCCAAGTATTTCCTGGTGATCACGGCAGAAGACCGGGCATCCTCGGCCCTTCGTGGTATCTGCAACATCACCATAACAGTCGAGGACCAGAATGATAACGACCCCAAGTTCTCCCAGAACCGGTACACGTCCACTCTGCCTGAGGACGCCCTGCCGGACACGACGGTGTTAACTGTGAGGGCTGTGGACGAGGACCACGGTGAGAACGCCCGTATCACCTACTCCCTCAGTAACGAGACTCAGTGGCTCTTCAAGATAGACAATGAGACTGGTGTCATCACAACTGCTGGGTAGGTTTAATGCTGAAAAAATATTATATAATTGATACACGTAAAGGTACAGTAATTTAATGGCTAACTTCAAATTAATATTTTTTTCTTGCAAATGAGTGAAACTAAATGATTAAATTTTACTTTTTCTCGAAAGCCAATATTTATTCATTCTCTTTTATTCATTGTACATTTTGGTTTACGTGTTCTAACACTCGGGGAACTTGTCTTCTCGACAGGTACTTCGACCGAGAGAAACAGAATGTGTACACATTCGAGGTGCGGGCGACTGACGGCGGGCGGTATGACTCTCGCTCGGAGAAGGCACAGGTACAGATCACCATTACTGATGTGAATGACAATAAGCCAGTGTTCACACAGTACCCGTTCACCGTGGACGTGCCCGTATATTCCCAGCCCGGTCACCAGCTGCTCCAGGTCTCCGCCACCGACAAAGATGAGGGGGTCAACGCCGATATTGTTTTTAGGTAATTTTACCCCTACCTTCCCTTGGGGTGCAGCTGCAAGTTTTAAGTAGACTTACCCTTACCTTCTCATGGGGTGCAGCTGCAAGCTTTACATAGACTTACCCTTACCTTCTCATGGAGTGCAGCTTCAAGCTTTACATAGACTTACCCTTACCTTCCCATGGCATGCAGTTACAATCTTTACATAGACTTACCCTTACCTTCCCATGGCATGCAGCTGCAAGTTTTAGGTAGATTTCCATGAACAATTTAGAGATTCAATTTTATGTCTACAATAACTGAACATCTGCAGACAAGAGAAACATCGGCTACCATTTGACTAACATGGTTTCTGGTTTAGAAACATTGGAGTGAGGTATAAATAAATGTGTGAGTCGGTCATGTTGTAACGTCTTACTTTCAGCTTGGTGGATGAACCGGCCAACAATAAGTTCCGAATCACCCCTGAGACCGGGATTGTGACAGCCACTAGCCAACTGGGCCTGGAGAGTGGCCGCATCTTCCATCTCGAGGTGGTGGCCCAGGACCGTGGCCGTCCTCCACAGTCTTCCACGGGCCTCGTAGAGATACGGGTCGGAGACGCCACTTCAGCCACCACACTTCAATTCCAGAATTTTACCTACTCCGCCGAATTGGGTGAGAACGCACCTGCTGGCTCAGACGTGGTGAAAGTTGGCGCCTTCCGCTCTGATCGTCGAAAACAGAGAATAGCATACAGCTTTGGCTCTGGAAACGAGGACCACATCTTCGACATAAACAGTAACAATGGCCTGATCCGTGTGCGAGACCCTCGACGCCTGGACTATGAGACTATCCCAAGGATGAGGCTCATCGTGGTGGCTCAGGCAGAGGGAGAGACGCCCCTCTATGCTTACACCAGCGTCTGGATCACACTTGTTGACATGAATGACAATGCCCCTCGCTTCACACAGGACCGCTACGTGTCTTCCGTCTGGGAGGGCTACAATAAGGGGGCCTACGTCATGCAGGTGTCGGCTACTGACGACGACACAGGAGTTAATGCCAACATCGTCTACCACATCGTCGACGGCAACCATGATAACGCCTTCGTCATCGACCCGCCCTTCTCTGGAATCGTTAAGACCAACATCGTGCTGGACCGGGAGATCCGCGACGCCTACAAGTTAACCATCATCGCCACAGACGAGGGCGTGCCTCAGCTGACTGGCACCTGCACCCTCAGGATCAACATCGTGGACGCTAATGACAACCAGCCAACCTTCCCTCCACACTCCATTGTCCAAGTCTCTGAAGGTCAGTACTGCCAACTATCTTTACTCTCCATACCCTGATAGTATATGTCACTTGTCAACAGATGAACTTACTGTAATATTTTAATCTAATTATAGTTATCACTATTTTCACTAAGGTTATTATTGTTACTGCTACTCATTCATGTTGTTATCATCACTATCACCTGACACAGGTGCGGAGGTGGGTACCGTCATCACCACCATCACCGCCAATGATGTGGACACCAACCCGGCCATCACCTACAACTTCGCGGCAGACGGCAACCCTCACAATATGTTCAGCATCGACAAGTTCAGTGGCAAGATCACCCTGGCAGTGCCGCTGGACCACGAGGCTCGTGCTGAGTACATGCTGCAGGTGGAGGCGTCAGACACCGCCCATGTGGCCACCACCTCCATCACCGTCCAGGTAGTTGATGAGAATGACAACAGCCCCATCTTCACCCAACAGGCCTACCAAGTGGCCCTCCCAGAGCTGTCTGTCTCTGGCACCTCTGTCATACGGGTGAGTGACACCCTTTGTCTGCCATGCCTGGCACTATATTGATAAGTTTCATGGTTTAGTAATATTAATAACAACATTTACCCACGCCACAGATCACAATGAAGTGTTTAAACGGTCGGACACAAGGGAAACTGTTGACCGGGTGTGTCTCTGTCTGTCTTTATGTGCTGCTTGTTTACCCTCTGTGGTGGTCAAGTGTGAAGGTTGCGGTTATGTATGGATGAGTTATTGGTGATGTTTGGAGGTGGTGATGTGTGGACGAGTTAGTGATGATGTGTGATGGAGTTAGTGGTGATGTGTGATGAAGGTGGTGATGTTTGGAGGTGGTGGTGTGTGGACGAGTTAGTGGCGATGTGTGGAGAAGTTAGTGGTGATGTGTGATAGAGTTAGTGGTGATGTGTGGAGAAGCTAGAGGTGATGTGTGGAGGAAGTGATGTTGATATGTGGAGGAAGTAGTGGTGATGTGTGGAGGAGATGAGGAAGAGGATGAAGAGGAAGTGAAGGCACCATCACCATTTTCATCATAGCTTTCTATATAAACAATAGACATATATAAAACATGTATATATTTAGAGAAACAAAGGCAGACATTCACACTACCAATCCCCCAGCTCACCATGTATATAACCCACTCCGTCTCACTCACTCCCTCTCTATCTTCTGCAGGTAAACGCAACAGACGCTGACGCAGGGAACAATGCTCGTGTATCATACAGTCTGGGCACATCATCGGACGGCGGGTTCTACATCAGCGAGAGGACAGGTGTCATTTTCACCAACTCCTCCATCCATTACAACCCCCGCCACCCTGTCATCCAGCTGGTGGTAACCGCCAGGGACGGTGGAAGACCTTCCCTCGCCGCCGTCGCTGCCGTCAGGATACAAGTCACTGACGTCAACGACAATGCCCCAAAGTTCTCCCGAGAAGTTTACACGTAAGATCCACCACGCGTCTTTTACTTGCTTGTTGAGTTTACATTTAAATTATGTCTTCCTTGGTGACTTTAGCTCAAAATGTTTCCCATATGTTACATATACAGTACAGTACAGGTAAGCTCTAAGCAGTAGGGTAATACGCAAGGCATAACATAACATTACATAGTTAACTCAAGTTAATCATCATATACATACATACATACCCTGTACAGTACTGTTTGCTCGGGTTTACTTCCTGAAATAGAAATAATCTGACATAGTTGATGTCAACATCTAGTCTCAAAATCTTATATTTCACTTTTTTCTGAGTTGCCATTGATCAAATTTAAGACCGACTTATATTTTCCTGGAGTTTTAGAGTTTGGAAACATTGGAGGTAATAACTTAACTGTGTGGAAGACTTTAATGTTTACAGTACAATAACTTTAACCCATGAAGTGATCAAACGTTAATTAATCCCCTTTGACTTTAGCCTCTTCAAAGTGCAACACACTTTAATTGTGAGAAAGATAATGTATGTGGTTTGTGGGTGAGGAAGATTAACTGTCTGATGTTTGTATTTATATTCACAGAGCCCATGTGAGCGAAGATGCCCCTCGAGGTCACCCAGTCACCCGTGTGTCTGCCTCTGATATGGATGAGTCGCGCCACAACCGTAATATCGACTACCGACTGGTGGGCGGTAACGAGCTTGGTGCTTTTCAGATCACTAGCAGCACTGGGGAGATCATCCTGGTGAAGAGGCTCGACCGTGAGGAATGGGCTGAGTTCCGCCTGGTAGCTCTGGCCACCGATCGAGGACGACCCGCGAGAAATGCCACAGCGGAGGTGATCATCACCGTAGATGATGTTAATGACCATGCCCCCATTTTTAACCAGAGCGAGTACGCTGTCACTGTGAGTGAGTCTCTGAGCCTGGGTGCATCAGTCCTGCAGGTGCTGGCCTCAGATAATGATGCCGGGGACAATGCACGCATCAACTATGACATTACATCAGGGAACGATCGCCAGGTGTTTGCTCTGGACTCCGAGACAGGTGTGGTCACTCTGCGAGAGGCTCTGGACTATGACAGTGTAGCTGAATACCGCTTTATTGTCCGGGCAACTGATAGTAACCGCCACCATCCATTGTCAGCTCTGGCCACGGTGCATATCACACTGGAAGACGAGAATGATAACGCTCCACAATTCCCTGTTGACAAGTATCTTGAGTTTGTGGGCGAGAATGCTCCTGTCGGCACCTCGGTGTTTACTGCACATGCTAATGATGCCGACAGGGGACAGTATGGAGCACTCAACTACTCCATACCTGGAGGCAAGGACATGGACAAGTTCAGTGTTGACTACAAGACGGGTGTCGTAGTCACTAAGGCAATGTTCGACTATGAGGATAAGCAAGCTTATTCATTCTTGCTCCGTGCAATTGATGCAGGAGGCAAGTCCTCTGTGGTCACTGTCCAGGTCAACGTGGACAGCCAGGATGAGTTTGCACCTGAATTCTTAGAACGTAACTATTTCTTTCCTATACCACCCAACATGGAGGTCGGGATGGTGGTGGGGCGAGTGGAGGCCACAGACAAGGATGAGGGCCCCGATGGCCGTGTCTTCTACTCCCTCCGTACATCATCTAACACATTCAAAATTAATCGCACTTCTGGAGAGATCACTGTGCGACGAACTGGTGCAGGCGAGGAGGGGCTCACACGGTTGGAGGTGGTGGCCACATCAGGACTGGTGGGATCTCTCAGTGCCGTGGCTGTAGCTGAGGTGAGTGTCGGAGGAAAGAACGGAACATGGAACAACACGACACCTCCAACTACCGGGGGCCAGGACTCAGGAGGCCTTGCCACCTGGGCGATCGGTCTGCTTATTGCCCTCATCTTCCTAGTGATCATCTTTGGAGGAGCATTTTTGTTCTTGTACCGACGGAACATTCGTGCTCGGAAACCTGCAATGGCCGACCAGTTTGATACTTCCTTTGACACTATAGACATCCGACCTCCACCCACACCACAACCAGACCTGTCCCAATATCCACCGCGCTACAACGACCTACCTCACTATGACCACCATGGGGAGCGCAGCCATCACCATGGCAACACCACATCAGAGATGAGTGAACAAAGCCAGAGTGCCAGCAGCGGACGGGGCAGTGCTGATGACAACGAAGATGTGGAGGACGAGGAGATCCGCATGATCAATGAGGGTCCTCTTATACAACAGCAGAAGTTGAGGGAAAGACTTGGCCTGCCTGACTCCGGAATTCGTGATGATGACAACATGAGCGACGTTTCTGTACACAACACTCAGGAATACCTGGCAAGACTCGGTATTGACACTACCAAAAGTGAGTCGACCAAGGGCTCACAGGACCTGGCGCACTCCATGGAAAGTATGCACATGTTCGACGACGAAGGTGGAGGAGAGGCAGATGGCATGGATATCAGCAATCTTATTTATGCTAAGCTAAACGAGGTCACACCAGAGGAAGAATCCTCCATAATGGACGGCACACGGGCATTTGGATTTGGTGATGAGAGTCAACCCTCCATGACGGGTTCTCTTAGTTCTATCGTCCACAGTGAAGAGGAGTTGCAGGGTTCTTACAATTGGGACTACTTGTTGGACTGGGGGCCGCAATATCAGCCTCTGGCTCACGTTTTCTCTGAAATTGCCCGCCTCAAGGATGACTCTGCACCTAACTACAGTAGGGAGCCAATGAAAAAGACGCTGAATCCACAGGTGAAGACGATCCCACCACCACTGCTGACGAGCGTGGCGCCGCGCTCCATTGCCCCTGTGGCGCTCAGCTCGGTGCGCACTAGTCAGTTGACGCTCCCATCCCTGCCTCGCTCCCCCATCAGCCACGAGTCCTCCTTCACCTCCCCTGCCATGTCACCATCCTTCAGTCCTTCCCTCTCCCCGCTGGCCACCCGATCCCCATCCATTTCGCCGCTGATGACCCCAGGAAGCGTCAGCCATACCACATCTCCTGCCGCCGCTGCTGCTGCTGCTCAGACTTCGGCCACGTCCACGCCACACCATGGTCGACCAGTTGGTCAGCGGCCAGGGCCGACAGGGCTTATGGCCGGGGCTTCATCGGGCTCAGAAACAGAACTCAGGATATAGCCGTCACTATACCCTCTTCTTTACCACTACCACTTCTACCACCACCACCATCACCCTCACCAGCACCACCACCATAACCACAGCAGCCTGCCCCTACCCCAACGCCCACACTAGACTGCCCCGGCTCCAAACAAAGGACCCTGCCCCCTGCCTCAACAGACTCCAGACTTTACCTTGTTAGTGGCCAAATTACGAATGTGATATAGTTATTGGTGTGACGTTGCCAAATGTGCTTCATCGCATGGTACATTACGTGTGTGTGTTCTGTGTATATTTGTGAATATTTAAATATTAGAATCAAAGCTGGCATGGAAAAAGAGTGAGAGTGGGGCGCTCCCTCTTGTCAGGTCCTCACCTGATGGAGGCTCTTGGGCGAAGAAAGTGGCAGTGTGTTTGATAAGGTGACATTAATGGTGAGTGTCAGTGACTGTGTAAGCACTGTTGAATCTACCACCTGGTGAGAACAGCCGTCACCATCATGTAGCCGGTGCGACTTGATGCCTTTATTGAATTGTACCTCAGTAATCAGTGTTTGTTGATCATTTGCTCGTTATACCAGTGCTCGTTAACTAGTGTTGTTAAGCAGTGCATCGGTGACCGACGATGCGTGACGAAGTCTGATGGAGTCACCAAAAAACAACCAACCAGTTACTAAGCGTGCCAGAGCTGTGAGCCATGAGGCCGCCTCACAGACAAGTATCTTATATCCGTGTGCGGTGTAGCGGAACTCTGCTGCACCTCAGTGATGGTAACATAAACCTATCAGTGTGTCATCCGCCCCTCACGCCCACGTCGCTGTGGCTGTGTACTCATTTTGTTCTCCAGTGATAACTCAAATCAGTGTTTTTAGTGAAATAAACACCCAGTGCAAATAAATATAGAGCTTCGATAAAGGTGCCCTGTTTGAAAAATAAGGGTGCTAACTGTATCACCTCAGAAGTTATTTGCCAAATGTGTCACACAAGGAATGTTATGCCAATGAACCTGCCCATAGTGGCGCAGTGCCAAGGTAGTTACCACACCTACGACCCCTCGCCGGCAACATGTTCTGCCTCCTGCACTACCGGGTCTTCCTGTTAGTGTGAACCTCTGTACTTTCCCACATCCTCTCCTGGATACCCTTCCTTCCTTCCTTTTTTTCTATTATATGTGTGATAAAATCCCCTACACCTTCCTTTCAATAAGGTTTTGTCCTCTCACTCTCCTATTCAGGCTAGGGTGATGTCGACCTTCCAGGGTGCAGACACACACCACCTCACTGTCCACGGCTCTGCTGAACATTACCTCTGACAGTAGTGACATTTTGCTGCATTACCCAAGGAGATAATATTTTAGCTGATTTTGGTAACATGACTGTCTCTCCTCCAAAGCTGCTCATGTTTACATAACTTTACCTTATCCACTGGCCAAGACCCACTTCTCTTCACCATACTGACAAAAGATTGCTGGATGTTGGATCTCTAAGTCTAAGGAAACAAACTGTGTGCTAAAGCCAAGCAGTGTGAGTCTTGCTTTGAGTCTAAGGATTATTTCTCTCCCGCTCTCCGTCTTCTCTTATTTATCCTCAGTTATACCAAAGTTATAAAATGCTTGATTTACTGTCCCGTTGTTTTGTTCCACCTCCTGTCCTCAGCAGCCTCCTTCCTTAGAGACACTCCTTCTCCCACTCCTCCTCCTCCAGAATTACCATAAACTTCCAGCCGGTGGGTCGCTGGGATCCTCATTGTGCCAAGATGCCCTACCACATTATTTTTACAGTTTGATGCCACCCATGAAGAACGTGAGCAATAATTGTGCCAATTCTTCTCCCTCCTTCCCTGCATACCCACAAGTTGCCATGATCCGATGGCCAACGTAGTGCCAACCTCCACACACACACGTTGCCATGGTCCGCTGGGTGACGCAGTGCCAATTTCTCACATAAGTTGCCATGGTCCATTTGGCAACGTAGTGCCAATGCCCCTTAAACCCAAATGTTGCCATGGCCTGTTTAGCAATGCAGTGCCAATTCCCATATTCACACATTGCCACATTCCTATGGGTGACACAGTGCCAATTCCCATATGTATGTTGCCGTGGTTCACTGAGCAACTCGGTGCCAATTCATCCCCATGCATTGCCATGGTGCTGTGGGCAAGAGAGTGCCAAGCCTCACACACAGTCCAGAAGACACCCAGAGGTCCTCCTGGGCATTGATTGTGCCAAGTCCTCCTTCACCACACCTTCTCAGTCGTCTATTGATGCCTTGGTCAGTTTTGAAGATGTACAGATTGTTTTTAAATTATAAATTATTACGCAGGTTCTGACTGTTTCCACACAACACGTTTTTCTTTGGCTGTCGTCGAATGAAGAAATTACGCAATAGATTATTGATTATTTATAAGTGTTAAAGATGTGAATTTGTTGTATTTATATAAAAATAAACTTGTGCAATGCCAAGTAAGGATAAGTGTCGGGTTAGACTGTTGAGACAATATTCCTCACTGGTGGGCTCCCTTAGTCCTGCCATCAGATACATCTTACATATTTACCAAAGGCTTAAGTGCAACAAGCAAGGCCGCCACACATGGTTCGCTTCCTGTGTGAAACAATGAGATTTTCGCCTAAAGTGTCAAGCCGTCAACCTGACACCTTCCCCGCCAAATCAAAATGTACCTATTACATAGCATCAACCTGTCCGCCGCGGACAGGCAACTCTCTCTGTACATAGTTTGATGTGAGCATTTTCTCTTTTCTGTACAGTTAATTTTGTGTACACACAGAAATTTGTATAATTTTGTATTGTGATAACGCCTTATACCTTGTTTAAGGTATAAACTTTAATAAAGAAATAGTTGATAAATCTTGTGTTTTAATGTTTGGACCAAAATAATAAGACTGAATTATTGTTACTTGTACTTTTTAAAATTCAGATCAAAGATAACATTACACTACAGTAAGACAACATACATACACACACATACACACACACAGATGGTAGACAAGAAATTTGTGTGGGTCCACCCTTGATAAACTCGGATAAGAGTGCCTGTACTTAAAATTTTTGTCTTTCGTCCAAAAAATAGATTTTGTTCAAAATCTCAGTATAGGTACTCCTGAACATGCTAATTAAGGATCTGTTAACCAAAATTTGATATCTGCATTTTTACTCATTCAAATGACTTGCAAATGTAATTACAATTTTCTAAAAGCCATTTGAACAAGTAATAATCCAGATATCAAATTTTGGTCAACAGATCCTTAATTAGCATGCATGTTCAGGAGTACCTATACTGAGATTTTGAACAAAATTTTTTGGCCGAAAATTACAAAAATTCTAAGTTTATGCCTTACATGATTTTTGGCCCAAAATACTTTTTCTCTCAGAACTAAAATTTAATGTGCCTGACTATTTAAGTGCATCCAGAATAATACACAAGCACCAAGAAATGACCTCGAAAACCCATAAGTGGCGAGTAATTAGCATTGCAAAAGTAATTAAAATTGTCTAAAACCCACTTCAACAAGCAATAATCCAGATATCATATTTTGGTCAACAGATCCTTAATTAGCATGTTCAGGAGTACCTATACTGAGATTTTGAAAAAAATCTATTTTTTGGCCAAAAATCCTGAGGGCTCCGACAACAATGGGGGTTGCTAAAGCCTCAGGGAGGATCCCTCGTATCGTTGCTGCTCTTGATAAGGCCTCTGGAATCGCCGTTGCTCCAGAGAGGGCCTCTAGGGTCGCCACAGCCCCAGGGAAGGCCCCTGGGGTCGTTGAAGCCCCAGATGAGGCTCCTTGAGTTGATGTGACCCCTGGGGCCCTCGCAAAGGCGGTGGTAACTCCAGCAGCCCTCCCAGGGGTGGGGACGGCGACCCCAGAGGCCTTCCCATAGACAGAAGTGCCCCTATGGCCGTCCCAGAGGCTGTGGCGCCCCAGGGACCCTTCCAGGAGCGTCCCTCCCAGAAACCCTATAGCTTGCTGGGTCGTGGTCCTGTATGTATTGCCTACGTCCAGCAATTCCTTA